GCTTCCCACGGTGCCTTCCCATCGAATTCTTGTGGCTTCCTTCGCACTGGATCACTCCTATTACTGACATTCATATACTGGGATGTGACTTCTAGCGGGACTGAATATGTCTGCATTAAGTTTTAGCTGCGGGCTCTATAAGGGGGCTTGCCATTGTCTGGGGCTGATTAAGTCGATGGTCAATGTATCCTCCCTGTGTAAAAGACAATAGATCGTCTGTTAACGTATCTAATTCGCTTTTAAATTTACTAATATTTCCCATTTGTACTTCTTGTTTCCTTTCTTGGTCCAGTTGCCACTGCTGTATTCTCTCTTCTTGTTTCCTTTCTCGTTCTTCTTGTTTATTTTCTTTCTCCTCCAACCACTGCTGTAGTCTCTCTTCTTGTTTATTTTCTTTCTCCTCCAGCCACTGCTGTTGTCTCTCTTGTTTATTTTGCTGTTCGAGCTGCCATTGTTGTAGGTTTTCTTGCCACTTCTGTAGTCTTTCTTCTTGTTTCTTTTCTCGTTCTTCTTGTTTCTTTTCTTCTTCCTCCAACAACTGCTGTAATCTCTCTTCTTGTTTATTTTCTCGTTCTTTTTGTTTCTTTTCTTTTTCCTCCAACAACTGCTGTAATTTCTCTTCTTGTTTATTTTGCTGTTCGAGCTGCCACTGTTGCAGGTTTTCTTGCAACTACTGTTGTCTCTCTTCTTGTTTCTTTTCTTGTTTATTTGGTTGTTCGAGCTGCCATTGTTGCAGGTTTTCTTGCAACTGTTGTTGTCTCTCTTCTTGTTTCTTTTGCTGTTCTTGTATTGCTGCCATCAAATCTGCTAAGCTGTAGTTTGATTTGCCGCTTCTCGTTTCCATTTCTTTTTTCTTTTTTTTGTCCCACTCTCTGACACCAATTTGTTACGTCTCCGTTTGGATAATTAACTTTCCGTAAGGTCGTTCCGACGCAACTTTAGCGACACAAGTATTTACTTAATAAAACTGGTTTATTCTTTCCGAATACAACTTTACGATACACTTATTTTCAACATTCGCGCTATAACAAACACTATAACGAACGAACCTTAACTTCAACAATACCCTGTGACTGCAGTTCAATTACTCACTATCTACACACACATTATTCTCCCGTCACGTTGTCACCCTCTTTTATATACCAGACTACCCTATATCTAGTAAATACTAGAGCATTCGCCAACAATATAAAAAGCACATTCAGTTCTCGAAATCAGCAACAGTATGTGGCCAGACTGTGGCATTTTATGGTAAACATTCAGTACGACGACAAAAAATAAAAATAAAACTGCCGCCGTAAGAAATAAAGCTGCTGGTAAATAAGTATAATCTTTAATGATATAAACATTTCACTTTGCCTAATTTGTTTGTAGTTGAGCTACGCAATGGGTTATTTGTGTTGAGCCCACCACGGTATCGAAACCCGGTTTTTAGCGTTACAAGTCCGCAGATTTACAGCTGTGCGCTAACGTAAGATGTCAGTTACGAATAAATTTACTGGATCGCAGTAATGGGCTACCTTATAACTTAGAATCCATGCGTCTGATCTTGTAATGTGCATTGCTTGAGGAAAGGCCAAGAAACAGTTATAGGTAGATGACATTGCAAATTTAGTTCCTGAAGATATGTGTTTTACATTGTCAACGCTTAATTTTAATAATTGTTTTTATTTATAAATTACTCCATACATCGATTATCGTGTAATTATAGGACAGACTTAAATAAGTCCTAACTGTTTAGTTTTGTTAATTTTAATAATGTTATTATATAATTTCGAAATATAGTTAAGTACCGCTAATGTGTCTATTTCGTACCTGTCTTTAGGATAACTTTACACACCTGGAAATGTTGGAGGGGTTACTGGTTGACCTTCTCAATGCCAAATGGAATAGTTTTGTCAAATTTCGGTGAGCGGTTTTCCATTGTTATATATTTTTATCCTAAATACGTCAGATCTTCTTTGTTGAAGATCTTCGATTCACTTGTTTAATATTATTTAAATTTTAAACATTTATGTCACATTCAGAATTGTTTAATGTTACATTATGCGGATCTCTTAAAACGACCAATGTTTGTAAAAGCCCTCAGTAACATGAAATAAAACTGATAAATTACACATTCTACAATATAATATATATATGTACTGATAAGTTTATCATTCTGTATTTAAAATCATAAGAGGGTTGGGTATGGCCTATTTGTTAACGTGAAGTTTGCGGAATGGGAGGTTCGGGGTTCGAACCTCGAAGTGTACGCTGAACGTTCTTCGCTGTGGGGTCATTATATACGTGACAGTCGATTCGATTATTTGATCCAGAGTAGCTGCATAGGATGTGGATATCGCTAGCTAGTTGTCCCTTGCTCTGGTCAGTAGTTCTAAATTAAGAATGACTGTGCCTGAATGTTTCTGATCTGACCGTGTAGTCCGTGTGAGTTCATGACCAACACTCGAAATCGTAAGGTATAAACAAAACACAATCTTTCACTGGACATAAGGTTTTCCAACACGAATCAGCTAATTTGTTTAAATTTGAGTACAAAGCTGCACAATGGGCTATCTGTGCTGTGCCAACTACGGGTATTGAAAACCGATTTTTTGCGTTATAAGTCCGCGAACGTACCACTGAGCCACTGGGGGCGTAATAGCTAGTAAAAAAATAGAAAAGAAACAAAAAGATTTTAAAAATCCTGACCTGTTTTGCTTCGTGGTTAAACACGTCCGAAAGAGTCTGACAATGATAAAATGTGTATATCTTAGTAGGTCGCTAACAAGTTCTGCTTTATTTATTCTAAAAGTTTCGAGTAATTATGTTGACTTTATTTAATTAAGTATGCATACTATAACATAATACATGGTTATAAAGTGTGTATCTAAAAGTTCAGATATTTTCTGACATAACACGAAGTTATAAAGAGTGTATCTCAAAGTTCAGATGTTATCTGACATGACATTCGGCTACAAAGTATGTATAACAAAGCTCAGGAATTAATCTGACTTGGCATGGGTTATAAATATAAATATCTAACCCTTTGTTTTATTTGAGGTATGTTGTGTGTTTTCAGGAGGCGGGTACAATGTTTATGTTTTTGAACTCCAGTTACAAAATATCTGTTATTTTTATTTTAACTAAATATGATACATGTCATTCAGAAACGATGCCTTTGTTTTTATTATTAATATTTTTGGAATATTAAATTTAATATCATGACCAGCTTCACGGTGTAAATGTTTTTAGGCAATTTTAAAATTGGGACGTTTCAGGTCATAGGAGTGCCACCTTTACGCAATGTACTGTTGTAAGCTATATTTTTAATATTTAAATTTAGAAATTTGTTTGCTAAAGTGCACGTGTAGTTACGTAATGATAATGTAATATATCTGGACATTACATTGAAGTAAAACCTCTGTAAAATCTAGAAAGTTCCCGTGCTATGTAGATATAAGGGAACAATATAAATACCAGAATCAGTGTATTAACAAGTCAATGAGTTTATCAGTTTAGTATACGTTAGTGGCTTAAACAGTGAGAGTTATTTGTCTACGATTCATTAAGTGAATTCATCAACGTATTTAATCGATCCTTTAGTGAGGAAATTATCACGACGTACACAGGGAGTTTCGAGAGGGTTTCGAACAAAAATATGTTTATATAGTTATAGCACAGCTGCTTATAGTACTTAACGTTTTGGATGTTTGTGGAATTTATGTGAACACCCATGTAATTGTTTAAGCTATATTTCATGCAAAATTGCTTCTAGATTCAATCTCATAACACTTATGTTTTGGAAATTTTTTGGGGGGCATGCCTCCAGATCCCCGTAGCATTAGTACGCTTTACATGCTAATTGTGTTTTGCACAAGATGTGTTAGTTTTCTACCTCACAAATTAGAAACCACTCTTTCAAATATTCTGCATACGGGCCTGATTATACAAGTAAGTTTACAAATATAATAAATTAGTCGTAGATTAGTATCGGGGTTTTTGTTGAAACATTGGTTGTGTAGTTAGGCCTACACGTAAATGTAGCCTGTAGCAAGAATTATTGAAGAAATATATTAATTCCTTATCTTTACGTGGATTCGCCTTGGCATAATTTTTACCAAATAATCCAAAAGAACTCTCCCAATGACAGGACACATTAGAACAGTATGATAAACATAAGTATTGTTAATAATATATATTGCCTGAAGATGGCTTTCTCCTATACGGGTTGAAACTCTGCTATTTTAAATTGATTTACAAAACACATTTTCAAACTAAAGCTGGTCACGGTATTAAAAATATCTATGTGTATTTTATATTTTCCTAAAATTATTTTCGAATTTTTAACCCTATCACCAACACAAACACACTGACCTGATGAAAACAGACAGAAGCTTGGCTGGACGACCTGAATATGAACAGCTCACGTCTTTCAACGATACATAGAAGCTTGCATATGTAAACTTTTTCAACATATGAATGCTATTTCCTTAAAAGATTATTTAATTAATTTAATAATCAACAGGTTTTACCGTCAGTTTGCTATCTTTCTGGTGTATTTTACTATCTCTATCGTGTGTTTCGTGCTTCGACCAGGACCTTTGGTCGTGAAACAAGGGCTTGACCTCACCTTTAACACAACTGTTGAAGTTGCAAATTTTTCCCTCATGATTGATAATACTACAGTAGACAATGGCACAAAAATAGATCATTGTTATTTACTGAACAGAAATACAAATGACGAAGTGGTAAGTTATAAAATAAATATCTCTTAACTATTTAATGAAATATTATCATCGATTTAGTAACTTTAATATTAAAGTGTTTATTATGGAATATTCATTGTGTTATAGAAGAATGTGAATATAATGTGTTTATTTTGAAATATTCACTGTATTTTAGAACAATTTTAATATATTGTGTTTATTATGAAATATTCACTATGTTATAGAAGAATATTAATATAATATATTTATTGTGGAATATTCACTGTGTTATAGAAGAATATTAATATAATATATTTATTGTGGAATATTCACTGTGTTATAGAAGAATATTAATATTGTTACGTCTCCGCTTGTTAATTAATTTTTCCGTAACTTCGTTCCAACGAAACTTTAACGACACAAGTCTTTACTTAATAAAACTGGTTTATTATTTCCGAATACAACTTTACCGATACACTTAATCTCAATACTCGCGCTAAAACAACACTGTAACGAACGAACGTTAACTTCAACAATACGCTGTGACTGCAGTTCAATTACTCACTATCTACACACACATTACCTTCCCCTTACCGCGTCACGTTTCCCCTCTTATATATATACCAGCCTACCCTACTAGTAAATACTAGACCATTCGCCAAGATACGGGATAGTTCTAGAAACAAGAGAGCGTGAGAATTGTCACGTGATCTCGA